AAAACATAATAATGATTTATATGGATATGACACTAAATAATGAGCTTATGCAACTTTACACATTTACAATTACTTACTATATTATTATTTAGCCTACTATTACTCCACTAGGTCTGAAATATATATTGTATGTTTTAATCCCCTGGAACACACTACAAACATGATTATATAGATTAGAACATGATGCATTGCTGTGTCTCTGTCATAATTAAATAATTAAACGATTTTGGAGAAAGTGGCTGTACATGTGTTTTTTTTACTTTTTTTTTTTTGTTTGTTTACAGGCTTCCTTTAACGGACATTAAAATAAGAAAATACTGCAAAAACAGTTTACTGTCAAGCTGTTATATTCCTGTTATATATTTTGTCCAAAATTCCTAATTTTTCTGTCATTAATTTAATATGTTGGTATTAATTCTTTATTTAGTTTATAATGCTTACACTTGAACAAAATATTTTCAACCGAAACTGACATGGTTTCTAGAGAGCAAAAAGTTTTGTGAAAAAAGGGAAGACTTTAAAATGAAGTCTGTAAAATAAACTGTTAAAAGGATTTGATGATCACTAGTCTAGTGATTGTACGTTATTGTTTTCATCGTTCAGTCTGTATTTCAGCTTTAATGTACGTTTTTTTAAACAAAGCAGCTGATATTTGCCATAGCGACAGCAAGAAGGGTCCGTGTATCTTTTGGTCATTTGATTTTTTGTTTAATATTGAAAGTAGAAAAATGAGAAATGGCTCCTTTTTCGTTTTTTCATTTTTTGCAAAAAACAAAAAACAAGAATTCTGATTAATTTTTCGTTTTTCGTTCAGGGGTAGAAAAATTAATAAACAGCTTGAATATTCGATTTCTACATGTGGGCGGGAATTAAACGCCCCTTTCTGCTGATTGGTCAGACAAAAAAAAAGATCAAACCGTGCCGTCATCAGTTCTTCCGCAGTTCCGCGTGGCAGAATACTAGTCCTCTGCTGCTGCAGTTGTATGGATTCTTAATCAGTTTTATTGCAACTACATTTAATCTTTTTCTCATCAAACAACCAGACAACTGAATGGCTCGACACAACCCGTTGTGTGACAGAGCCTAGACAGGGCTTTCTTCTGTGTAGACCAGCGGTTCTCAAAGTGATAGGGGGTCAGAGAAATAATTTGCTATAGCCTACCATATTTTCCCAAACTGTAAAGTCTCTTTTTATCATGATACATACTGTGATTTATTCTAAAGTGACTTAAATAATGAATTTCACATCAAATAACCTTAATGTAGACTTTTAAAAATAGGCGCGTCAAGTACTCGCTGTGTATTGGTTCATGTTTGTGACATACGATGTTCAAGGATACAGAGCAGCGCATTCTGCTAAAGCAGCGCATTCTGTTGTTTCCTTTATTTTTCAAAGGCACCACATTTTGTAGTCATTTTGAATGTACACAAATAAAAATACACATTTTACCATATGACTATAAATGACAACGTATTAAATTATTTCCCCTCTTGAGGAACAAGTGAACATCAACTAATACTCAATATTAAATAAACTGCTTTAGACTGCTGCATATTTCCTGTGCACTTCAATGCTGGTCGGCTCTTGACAATAGTCGCGTTTGTCTGCTTTATTTAACTAGGGTAACTAGTCAGATGTTGTTCTAAAGACTTATTAGGCCTAGCTTCTTTTTTTCGAAACACACAAAAAATTTCCTGCTCGCACTTACCCATTTAAATGCCAGAGAATTGTGAGTTTCACTTTTCATTCTTTAAGCGGATGCAAATCTGTCATAAAATAATCATATGCATCTCATGGCGTAGGCTATATTCCAAACGTTCTGAAGGTATACTGTAAGGTTTGGTGAGAAGCAAACCAAAATGGCAAGTAATTACATTTATGTAAATCATATTCCTATGTGCGAGTGCACAGGACCTCACGCCGCGCACAAGTGCATGTTCTTTTGAGATATCAATCATTTTTCATTTTAATAAAACAAAAAAGACTACATTATAAAACTCAGAAGAGTACGTATTTTAATATCTCTGTTGTTCTCCTGTTGTCAGTCAGAATGATATTTCCTGTGTGAACGTTATAGGCCTATTAAATAGCCTACCCAGATCTTGGTAGTAACTGATTACGTGTAATCTGGATTAGGCTACATAATCAGATTCCAAAAATTAAGCGCTTGTAATTAGAGTAAATTACATTTTAAAATACTCTTAATCAGACTACAGTTACTTTTTTATAGATAACATGATTACATATTATTCACACAATAGAAATAAATTATTCATCATTTATTGATTCTCTCTACTTCCTCTTTTTTATCTTTTAAATGTTCCTTTCTAAAATAGTCTACCGCTTCTACACACTCAGAAAGTTTTCCAGTTTTGTGGACATTCGCACAGAGATCAGTCATTAGTCCCGGTGGCTACACAGCATTTGACCAATGGATTTACAAAAATCATTTCAGGTTTAAGAAGTGTTTCAACATTGCATCAACTACTGCTGAACACATTCATTTTTATTTGAATGATCACTCAGTAGGTTATTTAACCATGTATTATTATGTATTATTGAAAAGCTTTTGTCTTTCAAACTCATTAAAACACAAATTCTCGTGTTTTTTTTTTTTTGCAGACACTCAAACTCTTTGTCCTCTGAACCTCGTTCACCTAACATATTTACTTTAAAGGGGTGGTCAATCAGCAATTCTGTAAAAGACAATAACTCCCTTTGCATTGAACTTTGAGCATCGTAACTTTGCAGATGTTTTTTATGCACAAACAGCAACATTAACACACTAAAGTTAAAAAAGTGAAATCATAATCAGTGATCCTTTAAGTACCCCTGAGATTTTAAAATAAATATTTTAATAATTAAGTATCACATTTGCATGTTCATGGTTCTCTGAAATTGGTGAATGGTCATATGGCATGAAGGTAAACATAAAATATTTCATCTTTTTTTAGTAAGTGTATGATTTATTTAAATTTTTTACATTTACATTACTTGTTAGCCTTTCATTAAACTCACACACCCCCTGCAGTTCATTTACGAACCCCAATTTGGGAAACCCTGACGTAATATAATGTTTAATGTACTTCATGTTGTTAATTACAATGAAAGGAATAGATTTTCTCACTATTTGTATTTTTAAATCATTATGGTACAAGATTATCGGGTTTAAATCAATGTTATAAACGAGTTAGGTCAAAATTTATCTAAAAGTAATCAAAAAGTAATCTGACTATATTACCTCAAATGTGTAATGTAATGGATTACGTTACTGACTACATTTTTTTGTCATGTAATTTGGAATCAATATCGGATTACAATTTGTAAGTAATCTACCCAGCTCTGTATATACCCAAGCCAAAGCATTATTCTTTCCTTTTTGTATTAGTGTGTAAAATATTTACTTTGAAACAAATTAATTAATTACTTAAACTTACTGGGGGACCAGGGTAGACTATGACAGCTGTCATATCATACCCTGGCATGCCCAGCTGATGCAAAGCATAGAATTTATATCTAGACAGAAGAAAGCCCTGTCTAGGCTGTGCCACAGAACGGGTTGTGTCGAGCCATTCATTTGTCTGGTTGTTTGATGAGAAAAAGATTAAATGTAGTTGCAATAAAACGGTTTAAGAATCCGTACAACTGCAGCAGCAGAGGACTAGTATTCTGCCGCGCAGAACTGCAAGAACTGATGATGGCACGGTTTGATCTTTTTTTGTCTGACCAATCAGCAGAAAGGGGCGTTTTATTCCCGCCCCCGTGTAGAAATTGAATATTCAAGCTGTTAATTTATTTTTCTGCCCCTGAACGAAAAATTAAGCCGAATTCTTTTTTCGTTTTTTGCAAAAAATTAAAAAACGAAAAAGGAGGCATTTCTAATTTTTCTACTTTCAATATTAAACAAAAAAAATCAAATGACCAAAAGATACACGGACCAAGAAGCTAGTGAATGACAAAAATAGAGTAATAGCAAAAGATGTCATGGTTAAACTGTATCTAGAACAGAATTACAAGTCCGCAATCTCAATTTTCACTGATGGTTCCAAAGATCACGAGACAGGACGAGCATCAGCAGTAGGGTTGGGCAAAAAAATCGATTTTTCGATATATCGTTTTTTAAAATGTGGTCGATTCAATATCGATTCTCAAAGGCCACGAATCGATTTTTCAATATTTATTTCCGCAAACATTGAACATAAGATTTACGTTAATCTTATTACTAGTCTAATCCACTAGATGTCACCCCCTTATTTGCCTTTATTATTATTATTATTATTATTATTATTTATTTATTTTTAGTTCTTCCTATTCCATCAATGGTCCACACTCCAGCCTAGTAGGTGGCGGGAATTCACCTATCGTTTGTTTGCCAACCGCCATAAAACTCCAAAAGAAGAAGAAGCTAGTGGACTGCCGAGTCGCTTTCACCCCAAAATGGCGAAAACGCAGGGCTTGCTGCTGGGCGCCGCTGTTGCAATGGAAAGTTCTACAGTTTCGCCTCTTGGTCTTCTGTACTCTTTGCTATTTGTCTAATCTTCTCGGTACTTTAGACCGCGATGTAAACGCAGACAGCAACAGGTCTGGGGGGAAAAAATTCCTGGGACAAATTGTTCCAGGTAATTTCGGTGGAAAAGCGGCTTAAGTCAACAACAACAAACCACTTCTGTTGTGCAGATGACTGTTACACGTGCATGCTGCATAGATCCATACATACACGTAAAGCAACATGTTAAGCGGATTAAGTCTTACTTTTTGGTCCAAAATAAGTTTATATGCAACTGATTTAACATCCAAGACTAGTCTTTAAGATGTAACGTTAAGGTAATAAAAACAGATTTATACAACAAGGCCCTAAGGCCTGAACTGCCCTTAATGCCAATATCACACAACTTTATATACACATTCTACATACAAACATACATCTGCACTAAACAACACACAAACAAAACAAGGAGTTGATGCAACAAAACAGGATGTTTAAAACGCATGTCATTACCTTCAACGCTGTAATCTGTTGTTATCGTACTCGAGGAGTAAAGCTCAATAAAAGTTCCTTTTTACACAAAATCGAATAAATTTTAAATAGGAAAGGACATAATCTTAATCCCACTCCCAAGAAACTGCTATTTTATGTAAAAACGGACTTCGTTAACCGTTTCTGTCATTAAAATCCGTGAATCGCTGTTTTTCTAAAAAAAGACTCTGCCCGCCACTTTCAAATAACCAGCTCCGCCTTTGACGTCATTACGTAGCGGCCGATCAATTTAGCTCCGCCTATAGACCTTTTCCAATGACGTCGTTTAACTTCCGCAAAGCTTTCTATCAACATACGCTGAGGCATTATATGTTAAAGACAGCATGTTTCTAGGAGACATTGATATTCTTAAAAACAGCTGGACTAATAAATAAATTAGAAATATAATAAGGGGATACAGCTACTCATAAAAGCTTATTGTGGACCGATGTATTTAGAAATATAAATTGGAATAAAGCTTGGCGTATTTGTGAAATATACTGTTTAAATAATAAAATAAAAGATGTTACATTTAAAATTTTACATGGTATATATCCAGATAAAAGTGTGTTAGAGAGATTTAATTTGGATATTGATTACTCCTGTGATTTTTGTTAAATGGAAAAGGAGTAGGCTATTGTCCATCTGTTTTATAATTTTGTATACTCTATGATTTTTGGGAGGATATGGACAATTTCATTAGAAGGAAAATAAATATATTTAAGTTAAATAATTTTGATATATGTATGTATTATTCCAATGAAATTAATAATAATAACTTTACTTTTCTTGTACAACTTTTTATTATTTGGGGAAAATTTCACATAAGAAAAAATGGTCAGGATCCAAGCCAAATTTCATTCATTTTCTTCAGGAGACTAAAGATTACTGCAGTTTGGAGAGCATTGTTAATAAAAAGCAAAGAAGAGTTGTAGTATTTTTCACAAATATACGTTTTTATTATTATTAAATTAATGGTTTGTACACTCTGGCATGTTTTATGTACATTTCTGTATACTAGTAACACTTGTGATGGCAAGGGGTCAGAACAAACAATAGATAGATGTTCATATTACTTTTTATATAAATACTGTATATGTTCATTAAAACTATACGTGTTTGCTGATATACCTGTATATTCACATTAAAAAACATAATGCACCAATGTTTTTTGTGGGGTATGAGTGGTTATGAACGAATGAATGAAATGCATTTGTTCGTGTTTCACTCCGTCTTGAATCGCACTCGCGGAAAGCGCTTGAGAAACAGTGTCTCTTCCGCTGCTCGGTACGCTTTCAACTCGTTTTTTTAGTCTCGAGCAAGACTGTACGACATTTACATACATGATTTGACTGATTTTTACGTAGAAAGGGCGACAGCGCACCGCATTAAAAGAAATGATCATTCATGTTTTCATAACCGCTGGCCAAATTCAAAAAACGAAACTAAAATTAAATCATCTTTGAGAGCAAGGGGTCCCCCTGGTGTTTCGGGGGCCCTATACGCAGCTTGCGTATTTTGCATATAGGGAGGATCAGCTCTGCCTTGACGTCACAAGTGTTGCTGGTACTGTCCAAAAATAACTGTTCTTTTTTCCTACGCACCTTGTTGATTGTGTGAGGTTGCACCAGAAAAATTACACAATATTTCTGTATACTGTTGTATATTTTGTTCTGGTCATTTAAAAAAAAAAAAAAGTCTTCACAGCAGGGAGTTGAGGCTTTTACTCTACAATCTCTTTCCTTCCACCCATACATGGACAGGAACCCAAAAGAAGGAGATATACAACCCCCTGCTGTGAAGTTTTTTTGTTTTGTTTTTCAAATATACAACAGTATACAGAAATGTTGTGTAATTCAGTGTTTCCCAACCACTGTGCCGTGACAGGTTGTCAGGTGTGCCATGAAAATTATCAAAACTTTCTATCTCTATTACATTTCGTCATTATTTTTATTTTAAATCAATGCTATTGGTCATCTTTCTGTCCGTTTTGTGGGTTTTACAAATATTTAACCAATGAGCATTCAAAAGAGCTTGTGACTAAACCTTGTAACGCCATTGGATCCTCAAACTCAGTTTGAGGTTCTCTGCTCGTTCTCAATGTAAGGGTGAATAAAGGACTGATGTTTGAATAAGTACAGCATTTTCTTTACTCAAGAAACACTATGTCTATAAAGGCTAATGTTTTGTGTGTGTTTGAAGAGTGGAGAAGAGTCTGTTTTACATACCCTGTGCATTGCACTTCATCTTTCATATCATGACATTTTGGCCAAATGTATTCAACAACAAAAAACTGAGCGCACATATAGCTACAAAACTTAACCTGTTAGTTCATGAGAACGTAATGCGAAGCACTCACTGCCTCAGATGCGGCCGTTCTAATCATAGATATTGTAACGAATCAGCTCATGGGAAATATGAATAATTAATCATAACTAGTTATAATTAATTATGAATATTTTCCATGAGCTGATTCGTTACATGATTGGTGGAGAGAATGCGGGCATGATAAAACGAAAGTTATGAGTTTAAACACTGTCAACTTAAAAGTGTGTGCGTGGTAGTCCAGGTTAAAATAGGGCGTGACTTGAGATACGCTGGTGTGTCCCTATTTGCTGGCTTGTGTAAATGCAGTTAAAGTGGGGGCTTGAATTTGTACCTCTGTTATGAAGAGTTTATGTATTTCATGCTTAATGGTATCAGTGTAAGGTTAATCTGATTTTAGCAAAGAAACCCTAATTTCAGTATTAAAGCATAAATCTGTCCTGTGTGTGTGTGTGTATGTGTGTGTTAGACCAGTTTATGTGTTTATGTAGTATGTTAGACTAGTTTGAGTGTTTATGTAGTTAATAAAACCTTACTTGTGTCACACTTGACGTTGTTCATTGTTTGCTCATAACTGGAGTCCCTAATCATGCAGATTTATGCTACAAGCTCTGTGTAGATACATACAGTAAGAAAGTTATTTCCCTTAACCAGGAAATTAACGTTCTTAGAATTGACAAGACAGTTGACCCTGAGAGGTCAAGTAAATATCTACAGCGGATCTAAAATATTCATAATTAATTATAACTAGTTATGATTAATTATTCATATTTCCCATGAGCTGATTCGTTACAATATGTATACATAGATGGACCGCTATACGTAACCCGACGGCCATATTGGAAGGGTCAACTTGACGTCATTCACCATAATAATCAATAAATATACAAAGATGCCACAATCCTTACATATCTATGGTTCCGCCCCTCTCTCACATTCTCACCTGTGAAAGGTTATCCCGTTTCTTAGGGAATTTAAATCCCGGCGGTTTTTACAACCATCCGCTGTGCAGGATTTTGGCATCTTCGAATATTCATTGATTATTATGGTGAATGACATCAAGTTGACTGTTGCAAGATTGGCGGACGTGTCTTCATGCTTGGAGCTGTCGATTGAGGCATCTACCTATACTATGGTTCTAATGACGGACAAAATACATATTGCCGTCATTTACTGGTCAAAAACCTCGTAAGTGTCTGATCATATATAAAGCCACTATACCAACTCTGACAATGCTGTTTAATTATAAAAAATGTAAAAAAATTTTGTTGTGGGATTTTTTTACTTATCAAAACTACGCCGTAGCTAAAAAAAGGTTGAGAAACACTGGAATATCTGAGTCCACACTTTCGTGACGTAATGTCGCTTTGACTGTTGGGTAGAAGTCTGCTGTGGAGCTCGCCCCAGTGCGGGCTAGGCAGAAGTGTGCATCGAGGGTGCATAGCAGCCGCTTCTGAAAGCTAAAATGAAAAATGGGACACCCTACGGTCTCAAGGACACGCACAAGCGGCGACCATTGTAAGACCGCAAGTGCACATGAAGTGTGCGATTTGGGACCGGGCCTTAATGGGTTTTTTCCTGTCAATCTTCTGTCCTCACTCCAGTCCAGTAGGTGGTGGTAACCTTTAAGTTGGTTTGCCAGTCACCATTAAAACTAAAAGAAGAAGAAGCAGTGGAGGAAGGCAGCAAGCAAGCAAACTGACCCTGCGTTCCATTCGGAAGGGCTCATCCCTATGCCCTAATCTCTTCAAAGGGTTTACCCTTCGGAATGGGTGCTTCGAAGGGTTGAAGGGTGTAGAGGACCAAACAACTGTTTCTTGAAGTGCCCTTCTGCGTTATTATCCCGTGCCCACACAGAGGTGCCGTCATCATGCAAAGAATCTGCGCAAAGGATCATGGGAGCCCGAAGTGTCCATCAGTTGTACCCTTCGAAATCCTTTATTCCGAAGGGCCCTTTGAAGTGGCTAGTTTTGAGCACTTCGGTTAGGAACGACCCTTCAATATGGCGTCCATAATTGTTTTATTAAGCGCGATATATCCCATTTGGAACGCACGGAGAGTGATCGATGGAGACCGGAGTAGCAGGCGTTTCAGGTGACCAGTTTATGGTCTGTGCTGGAAAAGCCATTGTTTTTCCCCTTTTTTATTACTAGAAAGATTAGTATTATTAGAATTAGAGATGCACCGAAATGAAAATTCTTGGCCGAAGCCGAACAAAATGAAACACTGGGCCGAAGGCCAAATACCGATTAATTAATTTAATTAATGCAATTAATTTAATTGCATTAATTAAATTGCCAGAATGTGCTTTTTACTGTTTTATCCTGCTTTTCAAATAAAAAATCAATTACAAAACAACAATTTTAAAATATTTACTTAACACTGAACATTTTTTTAACATTCTAGCAGACATTATACCAACAAAGCACAATTTAACTTAAAATGAATAAGTTAGTAAAATAATATTTTTTGGCCATTTTTGAGACTTGAATCAGGCATGTATTTTTTACTGTACCAATAAAGGCAGCTTGCTGAGCAGAAGAGAATTCTTTTAAAACATTTGAATATATTACAGATCCCAATTTGAACACTATGTGTGAATGTTATAATAAATGTATTAATAGAGCTGTTGTAGGGTAATTATTATTATCATAATTATTGTCTTACTTTTTTTTTTTTTTTTTACAGAACGACAGTAAAATTACAATACTATCATTTCTGAATGTCGATGGAGTTGTTGCTTTTTCTTGACTTTTATTTTGGCTTAAACCCGCAGGAAGATCTCAGTGCTTATTTTTGTTGACAACAGCATGCAGATTTATAAATTATTCTCATTACGAATTTGGGAAGATGTTTGTCGCGCGTATCACATTGTCACATGCCTTTAAAAAAA